TTCACTATATCACTCCCCGGACCTCCCGGGCTCTCCCTCCCCGGACCCTGCATTCACTATATCCGCTCTCCCCGCACCCCACATTCACTATATCGAATCTCCCCGGACCCTGCATTCACTATATCCGACTCTCCCCGGACCCCGCATTCATTATATCCGCTCTCCCCAGACCCCGCATTCACTATATCCGCTCTCCCCGACCCCGCATTCACTATATCCGCTCTCCCCGGACCCCACATTCACTATATCGCTCTCCCCGGACCCTGCATTCACTATATCCGCTCTCCCCGCACCCCGCATTCACTATATCCGCTCTCCCCGGACCCCGCATTCACTATATCTGCTCTCCCCGAACCCCGCATTCACTATATCCGCTCTCCCCGGACCCCGCATTCACTATATCCGCTCTCCCCGGACCCCGCATTCACTATATCCGCTCTCTCCCGGACCCTGCATTCACTATATCCGCTCTCCCCCCGGACCCCGCATTCACTATATACCGCTCTCTCCCCCCGGACCCCGCATTCACTATATCCGCTCTCCCCGGACCCCGCATTCACTATATCCGGTCTCCCCGGACCCTGCATTCACTATATCCGCTCTCCCCGGACCCCGCATTCACTATATCCGCTCTCCCCGGACCCCATATTCACTATATCTGCCAAACCCCCATCCCTGGACCCTCCCATAAGGGGGGATATCATCTCCATGTATAATACATAAGGGGGGGATATGATCTCCATGTATAATACATAAGGGGGGGATATGATCTCCATGTATAATACATAAGGGGGATATGATCTCCATGTATAATACATAAGGGGGGGATATGATCTCCATGTATAATACATAAGGGGGGATATGATCTCCATGTATAATACATAAGGGGGGATATGATCTCCATGTATAATACATAAGGGGGATATGAGCTCCATGTATAATACATAAGGGGGGATATGATCTCCATGTATAATACATAAGGGGGGATATGATCTCCATGTATAATACATAAGGGGGGATATGATCACCATGTATAATACATAAGGGGGGATATGATCTCCATGTATAATACATAAGGGGGGGATATGATCTCCATGTATAATACATAAGGGGGATATGATCTCCATGTATAATACATAAGGGGGGGGATATGATCTCCATGTATAATACATAAGGGGGGATATGATCTCCATGTATAATACATAAGGGGGGATATGATCTCCATGTATAATACATAAGGGGGGGGGGGATATGATCTCCATGTATAATTACATAAGGGGGGATATGATCTCCATGTATAATACATAAGGGGGGATATGATCTCCATGTATAATACATAAGGGGGGGGGATATGATCTCCATGTATAAATACATCAGTGGTTCATATAGTGAACTCGGTGTAGTTATTCCCCCTGAGGTCATCACAGAGGACAAGGGGGCGCTCTTTACATCTGGAGGAAAATAAATGTAATCTCCAAACACGGAAAGGTTTCTTCACAGTAAGAGCTGTGAGAATGTGGAATAGACTCCCTGCAGAGTTGGTTGTGGCCAGCTCAGTGGATTGCTGTAGGAAAGTCCTGGATTCTTTCTTGGATACACAGAATATAACTGGATATATAATTTATAGGGAAAGTTGATCCAGGGAATATCCGGGCGCTGGCGAGTAATCACCATCCGGGACCGGTGATTGACAGCCAAGGCCGCGAATTGTGGCAAGGGTAGGGCATGCGCCACCTACCAGGAAATGCAAAATCACGTATATACACATAGCAGTATTTCTGCTATAGGGCGGTCGGGAAGCAGTTAAAAAAGTCCTGGATTCTTTCTTGGATACACAGAATATAACTGGATATATCATTTATAGGATAGGTTGATCCAAGGAATATCCGATTGCCTCTCGGGGGATCAGGGAGGAATTTTTTTACCCTGCAGGAGCAAATTTATTTATTTATTATTTATTTCAGGTACTTATATAGCGCCATCAATTTAAACAGCGCTTACACATATATTTTGTACATTCACATCAGTCCCTAACCCTCAAGGGGTGTACAATCTAAGGATCATGGATCATGCTTTGCTGTTTTTTTTTTTTTTTGCCTTCCTCTGGACCAACCGTGGGTGTAGGATTATAACTTTTTTTTTTAACAGTTGAACTGGATGGACTTTTGTCAGCCAGACAAACTATGTAGCTATATAGTAAAATATAAAAAATCCAGCAGTGATCAAATACCAATTAAAGAAAGCTCTATTTGTTTGAAAACAAATTATATAAATTTCATTTGTGGTCTGCGTTGCATGACCACGCAATTGCCCGTTACAGTAGCACACTGTAGAATAGCAAAAAATTCCTGGTCATGAAGGGGGGGGGGGGGTAAAACCAGGGGCGGACTGACCATTTGGAAACTTGGGCACTGCCCGAGGGCCCGGGGTCAGTAGGGGGCCCCATGAGATGCCCCAGGTACCTTTTTCATAGACTTTTTTGAGTTTGGGCAAGGACACAGGGGCCCCATGATCTCCTATTGCCCGGGGGCCCCATGAGTTGTTAGTCCGCCCCTGGGTAAAACCTTCTGAAGCTTAAGTGGTTAATAAAAAAAATGTATACCCACTTTTGCATTATTTTGTTACATTTCATGTATATTTCATTTGGTATTTAGCTGTGTGCGGGGAGTTTAGCCTTGAACGACACCCAGCCTATTGTAGAGGAAGGGCCGGGGCTGGAAATAACATCTCAGCCGATAACGATCGCGCTCGATGCTGCCGCGCAGTTTTCCCCGTTTGTGGTATTTGTTGTTCCTGGGCCCATTCTGGGCAGATCTTATCTTTGCGGCTGGCCGCAGCTCAGGCAGCTTTGCCTTTTCCCACCGGAGCGAAGCGTCATTGTGTTACATCGCAGCTGGCAGCGCCGCGTCACATGGAGGATGGCAGGGAAGCGGGCGCGCTTCAATCCCAGGCCATTATGCAGCAGCAGCCGGATCGGGTGTCTCCATATTGTGGATATCTGATCTCGGAATGTGCCACATATCTGATTTAGCTGACAGATTATTTAGGTACAAAAAAAAATTATCTGGAAGCGGTGAGCAGACTCAAGGTCATCATAACACGATAGCCTCTCGCTGCGACTCTTTGGGTGGAAAGGATGGCAAGGGGAAATTTAGATTTTTTTTTTCTAGCTGTTTAAAGTTCTTCATGGCATATTATTATTACTATTACAGAGATTCATATAAATCAAAGAGCTTACAATCTAAAGTCCATCTCTCACGTGCACACAAATGGTAGGGGGCCAGTAACACGTCTGTGGATTGTGGGAGGAAACTGGCGTACCCAGAAGAAAACCAAGCAAGCTCATAGAGAACATGCAACCCCTGGATTGAACTAGGGACCCCAGAGCTGCAAGGCAGAAGTGCTAACGACAAACCCGCTACAGCAGCGGACTCCAAATTACGGCCCCAGGGCCACATCTGGCCCCCAACAAGATTTAACCTGGTCTGCATCAAGTCTGATGTGATGGGGGCGTCTGAGTAAGGGGGGGCATCTGATGTAAAAGGGGGAGACTGAGGTGAAGCTTATGTAAAAGAGGGGTTTTTGATGTGAAGGGTGGGGCTTTTAAAGTGAAGGGGGGGGGGTGTGTTTGTTGTGAATGGGGGAGACTGATGTGAAGTGGGGTTCGGATATGTAAATGGCGTTTCTGATGCGAAGGGCAAAGCTTCTGATGCAAAGGGTGGGGCTTCTGATGTGAAAGGGGGTTCTGATGTGAATAGAGGAGCCTGATGTGAAAGGGGAACTTTAATGTAGAGGGGGGCTTCCAGGGGTGTATCTGCCGTGAGGCAAACAAGGCATCTGCCTTGGGCGGCAGAAGTGAATGGGATTCTGTGCACGTCCAATTTGCGGCTTGACGTCATCGGCGTACCCTACGCGTTACGTCACGTGACTTCATCAGGACCTGTCTTAAGAACATTGTATTTGGTATTTCTATGCACTATTCATTTCAGCACCGGTATGTGCAGTCCTATGGGTATCCATGTGTATGCATTGATAAGACATTTGGTGTAGCACATATTTATTATATAAAATAAGACCACTTCCTAAATGAATAAATGAATAATAAATATAAATTCAACTCCCTGCAGCACCATCAACACCTTCACCCCTGAAGATGTATAATTATTAATAAACAGAAAATGCTATATAAAAGTTGAACCCTCAGCAATAACTCTACAAGTGAAGTCAAGACCCTAAAAGTCCACAAAATAAATCATATTCTTCTTATGTGATAGCGGTGACAAATAAGTGTCCAAAAAATATATATTCCTTCCAATGCTTTCCATGATAATATTTCCTCAAAAAAAAAAGAGAAATATCACAAAATCGTAAGGGAAGATTAAGATCCCTTATGATTAAGTCGATGACGAAACGCGTCAAGGGAAGTGACGTCAAGACGTACACGGGAACCGGAAGTTGACCGGCAGCCATTTTGGAAAAGGGAAAGATCATCTATTTATCCCTGGATGTTTCCTGGATGGCAGCAAGGCTACTGCATGCATGGTAATTGGGGATATATGGAATATTATGGCTAATGGACCCAGATAGTGCCGTGAAGACAGTGTAAACGTTGTGGAGATCTACAGGAGGGCCGTCTCCCACCGTTATTGTATGGTATTGAAAGCGTCTTTGTTTTTGGAATATTGGTAAGGGTATGCATTCCTATCTGCAATTAGAAGTGTCACAGTGTTGGTCTGAGTAGGAGCACTGAAGAGTGATTCACATACACAGTGTTGCTTCACTATTTGGATTCACAGTTTTTCACTTTGTTCACTTTTTACACTGATAATCAGTTTGATTGGTTATTCACTTGAGTGATGTCACCATATTTTATATTGTTTAAAAGATAATACACTATGTGATATTTCTCTTTTTTTTAGAGGGAATATTATCGTGGATTATCACCATATTTGTGTTTCTATTGCTGTGCTGCATTTTTTATTGATTTACAAAATGAAATTTGGTTCTGTATTCTCTAAAAGGGGTGGTGCTGGGAGATGGGCAGGGGGTGGAACCAAGGGACGGTGCTCGGAGGTTGGTATGGGGTGGAACCAAGGGACAGTGCTTGGAGGTGGAACCAAGGGATGGTGCTTAGAGGTGGGTAGGGAGTGGAACCAAGGGACGGCGTTTGGAGGAGGGGAGGGGGTGGAGCCAAGGGACGGTGCTCGGAGGTGGGTAGGGGGTGGAACCAAGGGATGGTGCTCAAAGGTGGGTAGGGGGTGAAACCAAGGGACGGTGCTCGGAGGTGGGCAGGGGGTGGAACCAAGGGATGGTGCTTAGAGGTGGGGAGGGGGTGGAACCAAAGGACGGTGCTCAAAGGTGGGTAGGGGGTGGAACCAAGGGACAGTGCTCGGAGGTGGGTAGGGGGTAGAACCAAGGGACAGTGCTCGGAGGTGGGTAGGGGGTGGAACCAAGGGACGGTGCTCGGAGGTGGGCAGGGGGTGGAACCAAGGGACGGTGCTCGGGAGGTGGGCAGGGGGTGGAACCAAGGGATGGTGCTTAGAGGTGGGTAGGGGGTGGAACCCAGGGATGGTGCTTGGAGGAGGGGAGGGGGTGGAACCAAGGGACGGTGCTCGGAGGTGGGTAGGGGGTGGAGACAAGGGACGGTGCTCGGAGGTGGGCAGGGGGTGGAACCAAGGGACGGTGCTCGGAGGTGGGTAGGGGGTGGAACCAAGGGACGGTGCTCGGAGGTGGGTAGGGGGTGGAACCAAGGGACAGTGCTCGGAGGTGGGTAGGGGGTGGAACCAAGGGACGGTGCTTGGATGTGGGTAGAGGGTAGAACCAAGGGAAGGTGCTCAGAGGTGGGTAGGGGGCGAAGACAAGGGGTGATCTGAAAGGAGGAGTTCCTGCACCTATTCTATGAGGAAAAAACCCTGATTACAGCCCATTACACTCCTAAAATCACCTAAAACATCTCCATTTTGCCTTCTCCAATGACTCCAATGCATTTTTGCATAAATGGCAAAATTTAATAGGAAACTCCATATTTTTTGCAAACATTTCTCGGAAATGAAAACACTTAATCTCACTCATCCCTAATCCTCAGTCCTGTTCCAACGCCTGTCCCCCGCAGACCTCCTGCGCTGTAGATATGAGAAGATTATCGCTCTCCCGCCGTCCTGTCTTTATTCTCTTCTCCCTGTAAGTTCAGCCTCGTGTCGGCATCATCAGAAATGGAGTTTTTAAGTTGCCTGACAAATAATTCATGATCTGCAATTTCTAGTAACTCCTGTGAAATGGCCCCCCCCCCCCCCCCCCCCCCCCCCGTTACTTTTTGGTCTATGACATTATTTTCTGTCTCTCGGCAGGAAAGTCAGAATAGATTTTTCCAGCGAGGTGAATCCTGAAGAGAATGTCCATGGGGAGTGACCCATTTCTGGCGATATTATTATATATAAAATATGTGCCAGGCAAGAAAAAAAACCCAAAAGATATCACAACGCGGTCAACTGCAGGGCAAAACAAATTCATTTTGTACTTTTTACTGTTTTTGTGCTCAAAAGTTTGCCTCCCCTGGCAGAAATGGTGCAATTTTGGCACTAATGATGAAAATATGACTGATCATGCCCACCAAAAACGTCTTTTATTTAAGGATAGCGATTATATGGATCCATTTATTATCACAAAGTTGTTTGGTTCCTTTTTGAATCATAATAATATCAGAAATTCCCCAAATGGCCCGGATCAACAAAGTTTCCCTCCCCTGGAATGCTTGGCCTTGGTACACACACAGGGCAAAATGCCAATTAAAGGTTAATTTCCCACATCTGTGACTTTTTAGATTGGGATTTATGTCTTGTATAAATAGTCAGTGAATTTGTTAGCTCATGTGGATGCAATGAGCAAGCTAAATACTGAGCCATGGGGAGCAGAAAAGAACTGTCAAAAGACCTGCGTAACAAGGTAAAGGAACCTTATAAAGATGGAAACGGATGTAAAAAGATATTCAAAGCCTTGAATATTACAGTCCAGGGGCATACTGACAACTCATGGGGCCCCCGGGCAATAGGAGATCATGGGGCCCCTGTGTCCTTGCCCAAACTCAAAAAAGCCTATGAAAAAGGTACCAGGGGCATCTCATGGGGCCCCCTACTGACCCCGGGCCCCTGGCAGTGTCTGATTTTCTAAATGGTCAGTCCGCCCCTGTTACAGTCAGTAGTGTTGAATCACCTATTAATGTAGCACCCTCCTAGATAGCTAGGGGGAGCTAGAGTCAAATTAGAGCCTGAGTAGCAGCCTGTGGCGATAGTCAGAGGGAGGTCAAATTAAGGTCAGAGTTGAGAGGCTCTGCAGACCAGCTCTCTGGAACTTCCCCCTGCTCTAGAATTTTGGAGAAGATTCTATAAGCAGTGGGAGGGGGTGAGGAGTGGCTGGTCTGCACTCTTAAGGGATCCTGGCCAATTCCCAAGCAGAAGGCTTGGCATGGGGTCAGGCCAGCCCTTAAGAGTGAGAGCCTGCTTATCAGCAGGAGAGTTCAGGTGGAAGATGGAGGAGTGAGAGGCTGGAGAGCAGGAGCCTGGGAGGGGGTCCAGATGGGAAGGGGTTCACCTACAGGCAGAGGAGCTGGAAAGGAGGAAAGCTCACAAACTCATAGGCCCCCAGAGCTAGGACCACCTATGCAGAAGAAGGCCTGAGAGCAGCCACCAGTGCAGCAGCTCATTGAAGGAGTACTGAGTGAGTAGACCTGCACCCCCTGGGCCAGTAAGGGGAAGGAGCACTCTGATGGGAAACTGGATTAGCTGCTACCCGGGACTGTCTTATCTCTTAATGCGACAGACACTGGATCCCCTGCCCAGGGATTCACCCAGAACAGCTGGATAGAAGAGTAGGGTCCAGAGGTGGACTGACAACTCATAGAGCCCCCGGGCAATAGGGGATCATGGGGCCCCTGTGTCCTTGCCCAAACTCAAAAAAGCTGTGAAAAAGGTACCAGGGGCATCTCATGGGGCCCCCTACTGACCCCGGGCCCTCGGGCAGTGCCCGAGTTTCCAAATGGTCAGTCCGCCCCTGGTAGGGTCTCTAGGGTCTGGGTTGGTACAATAGGAAATTCTGGCTAGCTCTCCAGAAGAGTTTTTCCTCTGTTGCCATTCCTTTGGGCTTCCCATACAACCCTTACCGCATCCAAGCTATTTACCCCTTAATAAAATCCCCCCCAAAAAAAACAAGCTCAAGGACGGGTGACTGTCTCCTGGATGCAAGTCTGTGGGGAAAAATGTGTTTTACCTGGTTGTGCAGGACTATAGGGGGACCCAAAACTCAGCAATGCCTGCAGGGGGTAGTGCTAAATTAAGAAGTTGAAAATTCATGGATCTCTTGATACCAAGCCAAGGTCAGGTAGACCACGAAAGATTGCAGCCACAGCTGTCAGAATCATTGATCGGGATACAAATAAAACCCCACAGGTGACCTCAGGAGAAGTACAGGCTGCTCTGGAAAAAGACGGTGTGGTTGTTTCAAGGAGCTCAATACAACAATACTTAAAAATGAGCTGCATGGTTGAGTTGCCAGAAAGAAACCATTACTGCACCATTGCCACAAAAAAAGCCCGGTTACAATATGCCCGACAACACCTTGACACCCCCTTCCAGTCCGGACTCTTTCCCCCCCTTTCAGTCCGGACACTTTCCCCCATTCCAGTCCGGACACTTTCCCCCCTTCCAGTCCGGACACTTTCCCCCCGGAAAGTGTCCGGACTTGAAGTGGGGGAAAGCGTCCGGACTGGAAGGGGGGTGAAAGCGTCCGGACTGGAAGGGGGGTGAAAGCGTCCGGACTGTAAGGGGGGTGAAAGCGTCCGGACTGGAAGGGGGGTGAAAGCGTCTGGACTGGAAGGGGGGTGAAAGTGTCTGGACTTGAAGTGGTTAAGGTATTTCATCATTTGTGATACATACTAGCACATTATGACATTAACTTGCAGGGGGATTTTTTTTCAAAAACTTTACCACCACCACCAATTTCCATGACCAGAAATACATTTGTCCAGTCCATTGATAAGGTTCATAGCCTTCGAAAAACATGTCAGCATTACATGGGAGGCTGAATTATCTGTTGTGTTTTGTCGGCAGAGCAGCCGGACGACAGGGAGTTGGCAATCTATAAGCAGACAGGCAACGAAAACAGGACGGGCTATGCGGCTTCTGAAGAACGAGCGTCCCTTACGATGAATGCAGGCAATGTGTTCGGGAGATGAAGATTTGTCACCGAACTGAGCGGAGACTGCAGTTGTTTATAACAGACTGATAATGCCGGGCACCAGGCAGCCAGGACAGCATTATTTGTTATCTATCTCCAGATATAACCTACTTCTGCTTGGAGAACTTGATCTAAATAATGTCTATTGAAACTTTTTGGAGTTGAACTTTAGTCTTCTCTTCAGACTTGCCCAGTTGTACCGGCTCCTCTCCTGGACTGAAATGGCTTACTCTGATTTCACTGCACACTGGGAGCTTCTCACAATGTGCATTAGAATCTGTAGCAAGTCAGATAGAGCTCCGCCTCATTTTCTGGCTGAAGGGCATCCAGCATCATTTAGCTTTTCCTCTCCAAGAAATGGTTCAAACCAAGCTGACTGCTTATAGATGCAAGGGTGGGAAAGCTCCCTGCGAGCAGCTGGCCACCAAAACCACCCGCAGGAGCATCCTGGCCAACGGTGATGTGAAGAAGTCTCACCACTATGTACTCTCTGAGTGATACAATGTTACCAGAAATCCATTGAGCTACTCATACAAAAGCTACTTTTCCAGGGCCTTGTCAAGAAGATCACCCAGGACTTAGATGGACCTGCACTTCCACAGCTCCACTGTTATGGCTCTGCAAGAGGCCTCAGAAACTTATCTCATTGGACTCTTCAAACACACCTACCTATGTGCCATACCGGCCAAAAGATTCACCATCATTCCCAAAGACATATAGCTGTGTGATGGACCACATGGGTGGGAAAGCTCCCCGCAAGCAGCTAGCCACCAAAGCCACCCGCAGTAGCACCCTGGCCAACGGTGATGTCAAGAAGGCTCACCACTACTTACTCTCTGAGTGAAACAAAGTTACCAGAAATCCATTGAGCTACTCATACTAAAACTTCTTTTTCTGGGCCTTGTCAAGAAGATCACCCAAGACTTAGATGGACCTGCACTTCCACAGCTCCACTGTCATGGCTCTGCAAGAGGCCTCAGAAACGTATCTCATTGGACTCTTCAAGGACACCTACCTCTGCGCCATTAATCTTCAGCCTCAAGCTCTCTATTGAGCGAAACAAATTAAAAGGAGGATCCAGGCTGGATGAGAGTACATGCACACTCACTCCATAATAAAGCCCATGTGTATGAGAAGCTAGGAAAAACCTGAACCATTCCAAGTCCCATGTGTGTTCCTCTGGTCCCCCACTGCACCAGATGCTGGCTTTCAAGAGCTTATCCAGGCATGTGTAGCAAAAACAAAGATCAAAACCACAAGGTATAGTTGGTTTATGGCACAGTCCCTGCCCTAAGCCATGCCCCACTAATGCATTTTGGATGGGTGTACGTCACTTACCTGGGGAAGAGATGGCATCAGGATGCAGTAATGGAAAGAAGACAAGCCGGCAGAGGCAGTGTGATTCAGTGTGCAATGTTCTGCTGGGAAACCTTGGCTCCTGCCATTCATGTGAATGCCACTTGATACGTACCACAACTTGACAAGTATACCACTTCATGGAAACGGTATTACCTGATAGCAGTGACCTCTTTCAGCAGGATAATGCGCCCTGCCACACTGCAAAAATAGTTCATGAATGTGTGGTGTTGGCTTGGCCTCAACATTTTCCAGATCTCTGAGGTGTTGGCTTGGCCTCAACATTTTCCAGATCTCAGTCCAATCAATCATCTGTGGGATGTGTTGAAAAAAACAAGTCAGTTCGATGGAGGCTTCACCTCACAACTTGCAGGACTTAAAGGGTCTGTTTCTGATGGCTTGGTGCCAGATACCACAGCTTCAGATGTCTAGTGGCGTCCATGCCTCAATGGGTCGGGGCTGTTTTTTGGGGACAAAGGGTCTGTTTTGGCAGCAAAAGGGGGACCTACTCAATGTTAGGTGTGAGTTGACTTGGTCTCTAAATTCTCCAGATCTCAGTCCAATCGATCATCTGTGGGATGTGCTGGAAAAACGAGTCCGATTCATGGAGGCTCCACCTCACAACTTGCAGGACTTAAAGGATCTGCTACTAATGGCTTGGTGCCAGACACCACAGCATTCCTTAAGAGATCTAGTGAAGTCCATGCCTCAATGGGTCAGGGCTGTTTTTTTGGGGACAAATGGTCTGTTTTGGCAGCAAAAGGGGGACCTACTCAATGTTAGGTGTGAGTTGACTTGGTCTCTAAATTCTCCACATCTTAGTCCAATCGGTCATCTGTGGGATGTGCTGGAAAAACAAGTCCGATCCATGGAGGCTCCACCTTACAACTTGCGGGACTTAAAGGATCTGCTACTGATGGCTTGGTGCCAGACACCCAGGGGCGGACTGACCATTTGGAAAATCGGGCACTGCCCGAGGGCCCGGGGTCAGTAGGGGGCCCCATGAGATGCCCCTGGTACCTTTTTCATAGGCTTTTTTGAGTTTGGGCAAGGACACAGGGGCCCCATGATCCCCTATTGCCCGAGGGCCCCATGAGTTGTCAGTCCGCCCCTGAAGACACCACAGCATTCCTTAAGAGGTCTAGTGAAGTCCATGCCTCAATGGGTCAGGGCTGTTTTTGGGGACAAATGGTCTGTTTTGGCAGCAAAAGGGGGACCTACTCAATGTTAGGTGTGAGTTGACTTGGTCTCCAAATTCTCCAGATCTCAGTCCAATCGGTCATCTGTGGGATGTGTTGGAAAAACAAGTCCGATCCATGGAGGCTCCACCTCACAACTTGCAGGACTTAAAAGATCTGCTACTAATGGCTTGGTGTTGGATACCACAGCATACCTTTCGAGGTCTAGTGGAGTCCATGCCTCGATGGGTTAGAGCTGCTTGGCGGAAGAAGGGGGAACTACTAAATATTAGGTGGGTGGCCATATAAGTATTGTCAACCTCTACACAAAAAAAGCCTAATTTTGGTGAAACGCGTCAGTGGGGGTGGGTTAGTACATGGGCTTTGCCGTAAGCCAACTATACTGATTAAACTTCATGGTGTGACTTTGCGGAATGTGGTTTTATCTTCGTTTTTCTTGTCCAGGTATGAGGTCAGCATTTTTCATCCTCGCCCGCTCTCAGCACTTTGAAAATATTAAACCTGGTAATTACCATCAGCACAGATCTACAGATTAGGACAGGAATCAGATTAGAAAATAATGTTGTGGATCAGCTTGTCTTTATGCCCCGGTGATAATTTGGAGTATAAATGCGATTGCTGCTGACGGGGACCGAAACCATCACTTTGCAGTTGCTGATACTAACTATTTATTAGAAGAGCTAAAAACATCAAAACGGCTTAAATGGAGCCTTTAAATAAGCCGCGCAGTTCAGCTCATCCCGGGGAAATGGCAGCTTTACATACAATGCGTAGCCTTCGGAGATCGTCATTATGTCTCACTGATAAGTACTGTAATTTGAGTGGAATGGAGATGATTTCTGTATTGTAACAAACGTCCCGGCGTGTTTACAACGAGCGGCGGCTGGAAGTCTCAATGATATAAGAAGATTACGAGGGATTTGTATTCAATGTGAAATTTGCAGCCACTGAAAATAGAGGAGAAAGCCTCATCGCCCCCAAACCATCATCAACCCGAAAATAATGCCATTCATATCATGTCCTTTATTTATTTTTTCCTTATTTTGTGATTATCGGATTATGGAAAAATGGTTAAAGTGAACTAAAATGGAGTATATGAGGTCAAAGCAACCAACAGGCAATGGATGAGAGGGCCAGGACATTTTCTTTTTCTTTCTGGATACATTATATCTATTACAGATCTACAAAGTCCTCTATTCCCACCGGAGACACTGATCAGAGTCTTTGACTTTTCAGCCAGTATTTGCTCAGCAACATCCCAAAAAAGAACCAGAACTCTACTAAAATGTGAAGATTTGTCGTCTCTCCAAACATTTATAATGGGCTATCACTGCTTCTCCACAAAGCTTCTCCAAGTGTAATGCCAGTAAAGGTAAAGAAGGCACATTTTTGCTGTCTGTGTCCCATATTGGAGATTCCCATTCAATGTTTGGTCACCATTCAACTTCCCGATGTTTATGCCTTAGAGGCCATTAACCACTTCCAGTCCGGACACTTTCCCCCCCCTTCCAGTCCGGACACTTTCACCCCCTTCCAGTCCGGACACTTTCCCCCCTTCCAGTCCGGACACTTTCCCCCCCTTCCAGTCCGGACACTTTCCCCCCCTTCCAGTCCGGACACTTTCACCCCCTTCCAGTCCGGACGCTTTCACCCCCTTCCAGTCGGACGCTTTCACCCTCTTCCAGTCCAGACGCTTTCACCCCCTTCCAGTCCGGACACTTTCCCCCCTTCCAGTCCAGACACTTTCACCCCCTTCCAGTCCGGACACTTTCACCCCCTTCCAGTCCGGACACTTTCACCCCCTTCCAGTCCGGACACTTTCACCCCCTTCCAGTCCGGACACTTTCACCCTTTCCAGTCCGGACACTTTCACCCCCTTCCAGTCCGGACACTTTTACCCCCTTCCTGACCAGGGCAATTTTCAGCTTTCAGCACTATCACACTTTAAATGACAATTGCGCGGTCATGCAACACTGTACCCAAATTAATTTTTTACCATTTTTTTGAGACAGATAAAGCTTTATTTTGGTGGTATTTATTCACCGCTGGGATTTTTATTTTTTTTGCTATGTAAATGAAAATGTCCCAAAATTTTGAAAAAAAGTGTTTTTTTTTATAACATTTTGCAAATAAATAATATTTCATCATAAATCTTGGCAAAAATTTATTCCGTTATCTTTTTAGTAAAAAAAAAAAATTCAAATTAGTTTATAACCAAAAATTATAATTTTTAAACATTTTTTTTTACATTTTTATTTTATTTTTTTATATTATTATTTTTATTTTATTTTTTTACATACTGTCACCCTAGCAGTACAGTACTACTTGTGGGGGGTGATGAAGATTTTTTATTTTTTTTACACTGATTGCTTTTACACCCATATAGGGTGTAAAAGCAATCATTTCTCCTTCTCTCTGGCTGCATTCTTGCACTCATTGAGAAGTACTGAGTGAGCTGTGATTGGTCACAGCTTGTCACATGGTACAAGGCTGTTGTGAATAGCCTTGTACCATGTGACCTCTGTGATCATTCACAGATTTCACAGGTAGTAAGCAATGATGTCACAAGTGACATCTTGCTTACTACTTTGCATGTGATCACTGATTGGCCAATCAGTGATCACATGATCGGGACCTCGTACAGAGGTCCCGTCCGACGATCGGTGTTCCACTGTGTCCAGATGACACAGCGGGCACCGGATCGCGGTGCTGCGCGCTCCCAGGGAGCGCGCACAAACAGGGTGCGGGGAGGCCGTTTATAAACGGCCACCCGACCCTGCAGTGCCACCGTCCGGCCTGTTTATATGCAACGGCCGGTCGGGAAGTGGTTAAAGAAAAAATACACCAATCAGTCATAACTTTATGACCACCCACCTAATACTGAGTAGGTCCCCCCTTTGCCACCAAAACAACCCTGACCAGTCCAGGCATGGACCTCACTAGACCTCTGAAGGTATGCTGTGGTATCTGGGGCCAAGCCGTCGGTAGCAGATCCTATAAATCTTGTAGGTTGGGAGGTGGGGCCTTCATGGATTGGACTTGTTTTTCCAGCTCATCCCACAGATGCTTAATTGGATTGAGATTTGGAGAATGTGCAGCCAAGTCAACATCTCAAACCCATTGTTGTGTTCCTCAAACCATTCCTTGAAACATTTTTCGCAGTGC